TGTCTGTCTGTCTGTCTGTCTGTGTGTGTGTGTGTGTGTGTGTCTGTCTGTCTGTCTGTGTGTGTGTGCGCTCAGTCACATGTCTCCACTCTCGTCTCTGTCTCAGGCGTTTCCACAGAAACTGAAGCTCTTGTATATTTTTAGAAGCCTTTTATTAAATTTTCTGGGTTGATTTATTTACTTTTTTCCTTCATGCTGGATCCAGAATCTGCAGCCGGTCAGCATGCCGCCGCTGTGCTCGCAGAACAACCAAACTTAGGCATCGCCTGCAAAACTCGCTCAGCTCAGTGTGTGAGAAATATGAGGGAAGGATGGAAATAGAAAGAGAGGTCAGGAGTGTTTTCTGTGACGCACAACTTAAAACAACATCCTAACATCCTTTTTCAGGAAAAAAACCAAAGGTGAAGTCTTTAAAATTTTACAATATGAAAAATAAAAAGGTGAATTTAACAACTGTTTACAGAGACGGCGTTGATCTTTAAACCCTTTTAGACACTTTTAGCTCCTGGTTTTTGGTTTTCTGGCACATTTACAGGAACATCACAGAAAATCATTTAAAAAACACTTAAAGGCATTTCATAATTTTGTATAATTTTATGTGTGTGTTGCTGCACAGCTGTCTTTGTGGGGACTTGTGTTTGGTTCAGTCTCTATGAGGACATTTCTGGAAGGCAGGGATATTTTTTGGAAAGTCAGAATTATTTTTTAACTTTTGCTTTATGGAGAAAGACAGTTGCATCGTCAAAAGTGGGCCCATTTCTGAGAGGAACATGTTTGGTTTTGTTTTTTTGCATAAAATGGGGCCATTTTCTTCGAAATTCCCAGGCAGGGCCACAGGCTGGTCCCAGTGAGGGTTGCTTCAGGAAAGCCATTCAGCATAAAATCTTTGCCAAATCAAACATGTGCGTCATCAGTAAGAGCGACCACTGCTGCCCAGTTAGGACACTGGTTTGGAAAACGAGGGCATTAAGTGAGATCCTCACTTTGGGACAGACTTTTAACAGTCTGTTTGAAGGCTCCCACACTTGTTTCTGTCGCACACTGTTCAGGTCCTGTTAACAAAGCACCAAATCACAGCAGCAGTCGTCTCAAAGTGTTTTATATTGAAGGTAAAGGTCCTACAATATACAGAGGAAAGCCCCACGATCAGACGACTCCCTTTGAGCGAGCACTTGGTGACAGTGGGAAGGAAAAACTTCCATTAAGGTCTCGGGAAGGTATTAAACTAATGAGAATGATGGCCCCACAAAGGCCCAAATACATTCCTGTGTGAGTGAAATCAGCTGATTTTATCTTAGAAAGAAGAACAAAACTCCAGATTTACTGAAAAAGAAAATAAAAATAATTCCGTTCTGAATCTGAAAGGTCAGGGCGAAATGTCACGGGCTGCCTCTCTGTACGGGGTCGTCACATTACCCATCTGCTGCGCGCTTTCAGACTCTGCAGGATGCTCCAGGCCGCCTCCTCGGACCCGAGAGGTTCTCATCAACGGGCAGGCGGTCAAGCTGAAATACTGCTTCACCTGTAAGATCTTCAGGCCGCCCCGAGCATCGCACTGCAGCCTGTGCGACAACTGTGTGGGTCAGTGCATGTCTCCCTGTGTGTCACAGCCTTAGCTCAGTGCTAAAGCTGCTGGCTGTGCTGCTTGATTCCAGCTTTAAATTAAACATGAAATCAGACTTTCTGATGATTTTCCTCCCACAGAGCGCTTCGACCATCACTGTCCGTGGGTGGGGAACTGCGTCGGGCGGAGGAATTATCGCTTTTTCTACCTGTTTATCCTCTCCCTGTCACTCCTCACTGTCTTCATCTTCGCCTTCGTCATCACACACGTCATCCTCAGTGAGTAACGGCACCGCCCCCGCACACATTTTCCTCTGTGGTCTCTACATCGACCATAGTTCTGTTAGTCAGGTTAATGTTCTGCAGAGATTCGTGCATGTTTGCGCTCAGACGACATAAAAACTTTATTTATAGAAGCTCCTCTGATACTTTTTGGCAGGAAGTAAAAACTGAGAAAATATTTCAGAGAAAAAAGGAGAAGAAGCAGAAACGTGGACAAAATAAAGACTCTGATCAAACCAAAGCAAAGTTCTTTTTAGAGACGATCCTGGTGACCAAGTGAAACCGAAGAAAACCATCAGACAGGAAAGTAATCATCATTCTCCACAGTAAATAAAATAAAATATCTGGGCACGCGGTTTTGTTGTTGTGCTGACGATGACAGGATATGCAGAGCTATCAGGAAGTGTTCAGGAAGAGGTCAGTTGACCAGCGAGCGCTGCGTCTCTGCAACGGTTTCTAATCTGTGTAATGTAACTCACCCATCAGTGACCTTCAGCCCCACCCACTGTCCTGTGATTGACAGGCTGATCAATGCGAGTCAGACAGACTGGGCCAGTTTTTTATGCTCAGAAAGCTGCAGATCAAAGTCCTGTTGGAAGAAACTCACCAGCTGATTTAAACGTTTCCTCACTTTGACCCAAAGGTCGTTCTTCTCTTTGCCGTCTCTGTTTCTGGCTCGTATAGACTCAAACAGTCTGAATAGGTTCAGTCGTCTCATCATAGATTCATTCTCGTTGGTCCCTCTTGTCTCACTCCGGGTCCTCAGGTTAGTGCCAGTATTTGTTTAGTCGTGACTTTGATTCTGGCCTTGCAGGAGTTCTCGGACTTGTTTCAGTGTTGTGGGTCTCGTGTTGGTTTTGTGAGTCTTTAAATTAAGATTAGTCCAGATCTTAATTGTGATTTTCCTTGTTTGAATCTTGCCTGGTGGTCTTTTTGCTGTGGGTGTTTCTCAGGCTAAGCTTCATCCCTGTTTGACGACAAAGATGTTTGATTGTGAAACCATGTTTGTGGAATTCTCTTCTTTCCTGTTTTTGTGGAAATCCACATAAACTGGTTGCTGCCTGGGAGGAACTGTAGCACAGATCATTGACTTTGTGTTTCTGGATCTAAAAGCGCCTGCTGATTTCTCTCTGTCTCTGACCTAATTTTGCACTTAGGCTGCGGATGTTTTTTTCCTGCCCTGCAGGTCCAAACCGTCAGGAACCCGAAGCCTCGAGCTGCCGCCGTCTGAAACTAATGACTGGCAGACTGGCTGAGATGAAGACGCAGCTTCCTCTGAGGGCTGCGCCGCTGGTTTTCTGTTTTTGGCTGTTGTGACTTTGATATAAATGCAGGGAGCTGTGACATCAGCAATCTGTTTTCAGCAGTTTACATCTTTAAGATGACGACCGAATAAGCAGTTGTTGCCTATCCTCACTGACGCACCCAAACATAAATGCACTATACACAGGAAAACAGAGGGTTGGTTGACACCAAGGCAGAGGAAGATCCGCAGCAGCGACTGAGCCCAGAAATGTATTCATGTGGACGTAGAAAATAAAGACACGTAGATGTTTCTACCTGGTCACATTGAAACAGAGCATTCAGTCGGGCTCTGTTTCAGGGCTCTTTAATGATTGGATGCTGTAATGTTCTTGATAATGAGAACAAGACTGTAGGCAGTGAGAACTGAACACTTCAGCCCAGATGATGGTTTTCTCTCTCTGTGTTCTGCAGGATCGAACCAGACGGGTTTCCTGGGCGCGCTCAAAGACAGCCCAGCCAGATATCCTTCCCCATGGACAGTTTCAGCTCCTTTTTATTCTGAAAACAACTTTCAATTATTCACATGCAAAATATTCCTCCTCCTTCTTTTACTCCATCTTGGTGCAGCCCTTCAGACCATCCTCTGTCTGAAACAAGCTGTTGTAGCTCCTCCCCCTGACAGCCCACTCTCTACTAGCCTCTGGAAGCCTGTTGAGGGGCAGCACTCGGTGCTTTTCCATCGTAAGTGTGTAAGGAGCTGATGGAGGATACATTCAGATAGTTTCATAGAAAAATAAAAACAGGTTCCATTTGAAGACTGTGAACTTAAACATGCCTCGTATTACAGGAAGGTTTGGACGCACTCGAACTCTTTAGTCATTTTACATTTTCCATAAATGATTGCAAGCATTTAGTTTTGGTTCTGTAATATCAGCACAGTCATGGCCACGTTCACCTCCTCAAGCATCTACAGTCTGATTCATTTGGTGCGCAGCCATAAAGACACCAGCCGGTCCTCCATCACTGACGTGCATCACATTTAACATCAGGTTAGTTTGTGTTTCTTATAGTAATTGTTCTTCCGGCTTCTCAGTTGTGATTTTTCCAGTTTTGTTGGAGAAATAAAGAGTAGAGTCTGCCTGCAGCCGCCACAGAAAATCAAACCCGGGCGTTAATTACCCCTCATACGGCTTCCTTCCAAAATCAATCCGTCTGTTGCTGTCACCATCAGCTGTGACCACTGGTCAATATGTCCCACAATGTATTGCCAAGGTCAAATTCGCTGACCCTGTCACACCAGAAACAGTAAATCTTCTGTTTCTGCCATTTTCAGTTTTTACTGCAAATAAAATCACTTCAGTTCGTTAATGCAGACGCACAGAAATCCTCCCGTAGCTCCACTTTATCCCCCATCCAAAGACCCGAGTCAGTCCTTGACCCTGCTCTGCACCGTCCTGGAGGTGGTGGTGTGTTTCTTCTCCATTTGGTCCATTGTCGGCCTGTCAGGCTTCCACACCTACCTGATCAGCTCCAACCAGACCACCAACGAGGACGTGAGTATACCTGAGGTTCGAGGACTTAAACGTGAAAAAGGCCTACGATGTTTCTGATACTCTTGTCTGGTCCAGATTAAAGGGTCCTGGTCCACCAAACGAGGGAAGGATAACTACAACCCGTACAGCTACGGGAACATCCTGACCAACTGCTGTGCTGCCCTCTGTGGACCTCTACCTCCCAGGTCAGTAACCAGCTCTAAAAACAGCACTAGACTCTGTGCTTATAATCAGGACTAAAACCAGGAATACAGAGAGTTATGTGCAGGGCTAAAGGAGATTAAATGAAGAATTGAGAGTAGGAGTAACTCTGGGCTGCTCTGAGGTGAAACTGATCAAAGTCTGAAATCCAGCATGAGCTCTGCACTGATCACTGAAGGTGTTACTAAAATCAGGACCGACTGATAGTTTTCAGGAATACATGAAATGAATCCCGGTCTAAGAAGGATTAAATAGATCAGGATTATAAAAGACTTAAGTGCACTGACATTAGTCCTAAAACAGGGCTCAAATTTAGACTACAGTTAGGACTAAAAACAGGATTAACATTTGAACTAAAATCAGCACTGAAACCATGACTAAATTAAGCACCAAGCTTAGAACTAAAGTCAGGACTAAAGAGAGTTCTTCAGGACTTTACTTTGAGCTAAAATTGGGAATAAAAAATCTGGAGTACTTTGCATTGTATTTAGAAATGACCTGTAATCACTGTAATCTGTGCTTAAAGTTGAACTGAGGTCAGGATTGAAATGACTTCAGTAATAAACAAACAGCCGTGTTGTTGGATTCGATGGCTGGAGCTTTGCAGCCTCAGTTGTTTGTTCCTGGAAGTCGGAGCTCCAAGAAACAAACAAGCTTTTCTTTCTTGGTTTACGCCTGAAAACTTTGCCTTGCTGCTCCTGCTGAAGCTGCTGATGTTTCGCTCTGCCGGTCTCTGAACATAAAGGTGCTTCAGGCGGTCTCTCTTCTTCCCCCTCCTCTCCGCAGACGCCAAGTTTCTGTGTTTAACGAGGACAGTCTTCAGCTGAGACCTTGCGCAGAGTAATTACAGCCCTCACGGCTTCCCGTCTCTCAGCTGACTGTCGGCTCGTCTTCTGCACAGAATTAATCAAAAGAACGATCAGAGCGGCCGAGCGATGGCTCTCCTTCATCGTTACCGCCTCCTCGCCGCTTCCATGAGCTCCTATGTTTCCATCCCACCTGCCGTATATCATCATTACAGCGGGAGACCTGGGCTGGGACTCTGCGACACGCTGCTGATACTTTTTATCGGTTTGTCAAAGCAGCTGATCGATGACGTCTTGCTCAGCACAAAGTTAAGCTTTTATGGGCGGAGCTTTGGTTTCTAACTAAGCGCAGGAACAGACACAGACCGCATCCCAGTGCTTTTAATTATCTGATATATATACTGCATACTCGCCTTCTTTTATTCTCTGTGCTGTTGATCATTTCACCTCTGGTCAATGAGCTTCTATTGACTTCAGGGCTAACATCAGGTCTGTCTGCTGTGAATTTAAAGCTAAACAATCAAAAAACAGGATTAAGAGATTAAATAATCTGAACAGAATCAAACTGATTCCAGACTAAAGTTGGAACTAAAAGTAGAAATCATTTAACATTAGCTCAGGACTGCATTCATCACTGAAGTTAAAGCCAAACAGAATAAACTAATCAGGGTTACAGTCAGGAATGCTAGTACCTGACTTCAGCACTTAGCAGGACTAAGATCTGATTTGTGGTCTAAATGAAATAAATGAACCGGTGAAATCAGGACTAAGTCAGGCCTGCAGAGCACTCTTCAGAGAATTTTTGCAGTAAGCCCCAAAAGACACGACGGTTAGCACTAAAATCACTCATCCTTTGAACAGGATTGCATTAATATCCTAATTCAGGACTAATCCATACAGAGAGCAGCAAACAGTTAGTCCAACACAGAATTAGATAAAAGAAAAAAATTAAGCCGAGCAGCAGAAAGTATCTGTGTGCAGCTTGAGTGATCAGATCCCTGCGATGTGCACGGACTGTAAATTTCATTCTTCAGGAGCTCTCAAAGGAAACGTCGATCGGCCGGCCAGAAGCTTTTCTTGTCTCTCAGTCGCTCTGTGATCCGGCTGCTTTTAAAAAAATGACTGTTTGTTTTTGCAAATGAAATTTCTGTTTTTGTTGTCGTTAATCTTTGTGAATGTTTTTGAAATTATCTCCAGGAAAAATGTTTTGTAATATTTTCACATTTTTTCAGGTTTTTCAGGTTTGATCGTTGATCAGCTCTGAAGGACGCCTCTTATTTACTAAACATCGTTTATTGAATGAATCCAACTGAAAAGAGTCTCGAGTGTTTTAAACAGTCAGTGAAGAATGTTGTGTAGAGAAGTGTTGGTGTTTGCAGCCCGGTGCCTCTGTGGAGATTCAGTTAAAGAGAAAACTGTGAAAAGAAAACAGTGATGAAGGGTTTTCCTCTGTGTCCGTGTTGTTTCGTCCTCTGAGGTCACAGACTGAGGAGACGAGGCTCTGATGATGCGTCCAGACGGGTCAGCAGGAGCTCTCTGACGAGGCACCAGCTTTAATATTAATATTAATAATGATGATGATGTGTAACAGCGAGCTGCCTCTGGGAGGATATGCAAGGAGGATTTTCAAAGTAAAAGGATGATGAGCATATGGAGCCTCATTATACAGTCTGCTTGTTTACTCACGGCTGGCTGCTCGCAGCGTTTGAACATGTCGACTCCACCTGCTTACAGGGCGACAGGTGGCGGCGTCCATCTGCACGCTCACAAACAAACAAACACACGTTTCAGGTCAAACTCACTTTTCCTGCAGCCACAGACTGATTTATTTAGCTGAATCTCCCAGATCGAGGTCGCCTGGATGATGTTGGACCGGGTGTTTGACCCAACGTCTCTCAACTTCATGTTCTAGCCTAGGCTCCCCCACCCCCCCAGAAACAGGATATTACTTGATCCTGAAGCCAGTTTTGGCCCCCAGGAGGGCGGGGATGTGCGTTTCTGGCCAGGCTGAACTGATCCCCTGGTCTCTTTACTGGTTTTGATTTCCTCAGAATATGATTGTTTGTGATTCTTCTTTATCAGTCTGATTGACAGGAGAGGTCTGATCCAGTCCGGCACGCCGCAGACCGTCTCCCAGTCCAATGGCACCAGCAACAGCAGCTATGCCTCCACTCAGCTCCACAGCAACATGGTAGGTGAAGGACGCCGTCATACTGCCCGTTACTGATGCGTCACAGAGAAAAATCATCATAAGGATCTGAAACGCACGTATTCAAAACTGTTTGAATGTAGATTTTTGCTTTTCTTTACGTTTCTTGGGTGTAGAAAAGAAGCTAAAGCTGTTTGGCTGGTGTAACATAAAACAAACTGATAATAAAAGGTTAAAGGGGATAAAAATAAGTAAAAAACAGTAAAATGTGACTTTATTTTAATTATTTTAATTATTATACAGCACATGTTAAACTTCCAAAATTGATCAGAATGAACTGATCAGAATGACGTAAACATCGAAACCTCTGATTGTTCATTTAAAGATGGCCTGGCTTAAAGCTGCATTCTTTCTTGGGTCCAGCAGGGGGCTCAGCCCTGATGATGCGCTGGTTTCGGTCTTTTCACTCATCCTGGAAACTTGAGCAGCTTTTGTGGCCATTCAGGTGAATGTGTTGTAAATAAAGTTTTATGGTGTTGAATGTCTCTCAGTGTGATCAGGATCAGTGCATCCAGAGCACTAAGTTTGTGCTGCAGGCTGCCACCACGCCTCTGCTGCACAGCGACCCCGTCGTGCTGGCCCCGCTGCCAGGTAAGACCACCACTCTGGGGGGCCCCTGCGCCTACCTGGCCCCTGCCCAGCCGTCCCTGCCATCCTGCGGAGGCGATGTCCTGACGCTGAGGGACGCTGCTGTCGACTCCCGCTGTCACCACCACCTGCACCTCCATCACCACCATCACCACCACCACTTTGTGAGTCCGGAGGAGACGCCATGTGCCACGCCACAGGGTGCCCTGCCCTGCCCCGCCCACCTGCACCTCCACCACCAACCCCACCCTGCCATCCCCTCCCCCGTTGCCCTGTACGACCCTGCCAGTCAGGACGCTCTACACGAGGACTCGGTCAGGGGGCTAGTGAAGCTCAGCTCCGTCTGAATGTGACGTCCGTTGGACAGATTTTTACTGTCTATGTTAAAAAAACTAAACAAATAAAACAAACTGTTTCCAAATCGTGATGATAAAAACGAACACACCTCAGTAAAACATCTGATCACAAACTCAGCTGATGGGCTGGTGTCTCGGGTGAAGATTGTCCTCAGAGCAAAGACTTGTCTCCAGACGCCAGAGAAACACTGACACTTTCTCCCTTTTAGACTTTTTGTCTTTGACGCTTCTCGACTTCACATTTTTTGTGACTTTGTTTGGCAGCTTTTAGAAAGTCCACCTGTTCTGCCCCGTTTGTCCTGTATTAAATATTACTTTAGTAAACTCAAAACACTTTCGCACAAAAGCACCTTTTCTGTTTGGACTTCTGTCTGAGGACCAAAGCTGGACTTGGTCCTCGTCCACTTTCCGTTCGTGTTTCATCCTTCGACCAACCTTCATTCTTTGAATTCCTGCTAAAAACGTTGAATCCAGAATAAGCTACTTCAATGCCAAACGTTCAGCTGCAGCAGCAGCAGGACCAAAACTACAAACTCTGACTTTTTATTTTATTACATATAATAAATAATATTTGATTGTTTTTTGGTTCTGATGGTAACTGGTTGGTGTTCTGAGACCAGCATTTGCCTCAGCCAATCAATGTTTGTGATGCCATGTCAACAAATAAAAAACAAAAAGCCAATTCAAAGATCAGTTTGAGCTGCATGATGATATTCAAATGTCTTCACGTCATCATGTTTCTGAGTCAGAGGAAAACTGAAGGTTTAGTGTTTGGTTTAAATGATGGACGAATCCATCATGCGTGTTTTTCCTGAGTACACATTCATGCGTTAGGATGCTCAGATGCACCACAGCAACGTGGAGTCTTCATGTAGGCGTCTGTGTGCTGCATGGATGACTTAACAAATTCCATTAACCTCCAATTAAAAGCTATACTCAGATGTAGGGATGGGTATCGTTTAGGTTTTATCCGATACCGGTGCCAAACCGGTACTTTTGAAATGGTGCCGGTGCTCAAACCGGTACTTAAAGAATGGAGAACACAAAATTGGTCCAAAAACCTCTCATGTTCAGCTGTTTTTTTTTGTAAAAAGATAACAATGTTAGCCTTTTCTGCAGCTATGGGGCATATATGGCATCACTCTTGGCTGGAAGCAGTGCTTAAATAATGGAAAAAACACAAACTTAAACCCTCTCATGTTCAGCTGTTTCCCACTTTTTCTTTGGTCATTTTAGCCTTTTTGGCCAGGGTGAAGGGAGTATCTGCCATCAAACAAGAAGACAGCCACGTAACTACGACGGTGTTTGCTAGTTCACCTTACATGCATTAATGTAATAATGTGGTTAGCCTACTTAACGTAAATTACACACGGACAACATTAAGCTACTCATGCAGAGAAGAACGCTGCTGCCATACCGGTACCCATCCCTACTCAGATGTTTATCACATGACAGGTAAATGGTACAAATGAACGAGCTAAGAAGCCACAAAGACGATCCTCAGCAGCTTTTTATAACAGGGGTGTTGTCATGAACACTGACTGGCTGAGGCAGATGTTGTCCTACCATATAGATGTTTATTTCTGAGGATAAGAAATTTCTGGAAAACTTGTGCAGATCTGAGTGGAGGGAAGCAACAACACTGCCAGACGTTCAGCCGAGGATTGCAGGTGCTTTTTGGATATCCCTGCGTTTAAAGTTGCTTCGTTTTTAGGCGAATAAATGGCCAGTATGACTTTATATGTTGTGTTGAAGAGATGTAAACTCAAGCTGAACGCTAGCTGGGCTGGGTGTTAACGTAATACCAGCTCTTACCACATGATGGTGCAGTCCCTGAGGGAAACCTTTAATTAACCTAGTAAGTCGTTAAGAACAATTTTATTTAAAATGACGACCAAAGTAAAAGGTCAAGTCTGTGAGAAAATGGGGATACAGCTAAAAACACACCTGCTGGTAAAACGCTGCCCCCTGGTGGTGAAAGCTTTTGGGGATAATGACAAAAAGCACCTTTAAATCATTGGGAAAACTTTGCTTGCGGTGTGGAGTGACAACGAACCAAACCTGTCTTTTATTCATACAACATAAACCACCCATTAAAACAAGTTTACACTCAGTTCATTTTCACACTTTTCCAAAGCTGTAGAACCGAAATAATCACCAAATGGTCCTATAATAAAATCATCAAATGAATTTAAAATCACATACACATAAAAAAAAGCCAGACTCTCAGTGTTGGACCTCCTCCTGACCTCCTCATACACGCTGACCATGATGTGGAGCCATCTCTCCGTCATACCTGTCCCTCTGATCTTCATACCTCAGCCTTTCCTCCTGTTCCCCTACGTTAAGAACGGCTTCCTGACAGGCGTCCTTCCACTGAGATCATTTCTGAAGAGGCTTCGGTGAGCAGTGGATGATCAGCTGAAGGTTCAGATCATTTCTCGGGTCCTGTTTCAGGTCTTTTTTTTTTTTCCTGTTTCAGTAGTTTTTAAGGTCAGGACTTTCAGATACTGTTTATCAGTTATGCACAATCTTGCACTTAAGTCGTCATCATCCATCACTAATTAAAAAGCAACAAGAGAACAGATCTGATAAAGGACTTGTGCAAAAATATCAATCACAAAAGCGTGACAACTTCTCTGACTGGTCTCAGTCTACCAGGTGAGGGTGTTCTTTATTCTACAAATCAGATGATTAAAGATACGTTTTTGGACAATGAGAAACAGTTTTTAAACTTTGCCTCTGTTCACCTCCATAGTCGATTTTAAATAAAACTAAAATGATGCAATGAAAATGAAGACAGCTTTAAATTAAGGGGTTTAACAAAAGTATTACATTAGCTATTTTGGAATTTTAGCCATTTTTATTCATGGTCCCCATTTTCAGAACTTTCCATAAAAGTAATTGAACAGTTGGTTGGTGAGGACACCTTCAGAGTCTTCATCAGCAGGGGGAGAAATGGACTCACTGATGATCGCCATGTTGGGTGGCCCTCACAGACTTTGTGATGTTCTCACTCCTCTCCTTTGAGAAAGTTTTTTTGTTTCATGTTCAGATCTTATTTCAGGACAAAATGTATATCACTGTTGTGTTAGAACAGCGGTCCCCAACCCCCGGGCCTTGGACCGGTACCGGTCCGTGAGTCGTTTGGTACCGTGCTGCGAGAGTTGAGGCTCAGGTGTGAAATGTATGGTTTTCAGGGTTTTTATCGGTTTTCAGCGTTATTTTGTTATCGTTTTTATCGTTAACTCGGTTTTCCTGGGTCTTTTCACGTGTGTTATGAATAAATCGTTTATTCAGTACCAGTACTAGATTTATTTTGTTGTATTTATCCGCAACACCTTAAAGGCCGGTCCGTGAAAATAATGTCGGGCATAAATTGGTCCGTGGCACAAAAAAGGTTGGGGACCGCTGTGTTAGAAGACAAATCCAGATAACTGTAGATTATTTATTGGCTGGAATCAAACAGTTTGAAGAATAGCTAATGTTTTATTGATTTCTTTAGAAAGAAAACTGTTTGAAAAACATCATTTCACTATTAAATTTATACGCAATAAGATGACATCAATGTTTGTTAGTTGTGTTGTTAGTTGTAATGTGTCTTGTCAGTTTATTACATTCTTCCTAATATACAGTGTTTCGCTAACATGGTTCCAAGATTCTGTCAGTGTTTCTGTGACTGTCTGGCTGCTTTCCATCCTACTAAACATATGAAGGAAATATAGATGACTGACTGTATAGCAGCAGCCTTCAGATGAGTCACTCGATAATTGATTGACAGGAAATTAATCCTAATTATTCAGATTGCAGGTTGTATTTTGTGCTTCACACAGGCTGTGTGCTGGCAGGGTTTAACGGATTTATTTGTTGTTGATGATACTAAACTGAATATTTTCATAATGATGACTCTGAATTCAGCTGCTGGAACCTCTAACTGATATTTGATGGGAAAACATTCAGTATAGAAGAAAACCAGAAGCCAGAATACTTGGTGTGAAGGTTTAACACTGCTGATCCTTTTGAATTGACTGAATATTAATGGACTGACGTTTCCAGTGACAGTGATTCAGTGTGTGTCCGTGAATGCATCATGTATGCTGCAGTTTCATGGCTCCATCTAATGGACTGATAGTAGAAGTAGAGCAGCTGAAATAAATAAGATAATGATAGAAGCCAGGATGACAGGAAAAGAACAAAACACTGTCAGAGAAGACTGAAAACAAGCACTAAAGACTCCAAATTCATCCATGTTTAAAATTTCAATATATACAAAAATTGTTTTTACCCAGACGGAATCACAGCTACAAGATGATCCTGGTATAAAATGTAGGTAAAAAGTATTTCCTTCATATGTTCTAACCTATTCTGAGCAGCAAGCCAAGATGAGTCCTGAAAGTTTGCCCAAAACACACTTTTTGAAGTTTGAAGTCCAGTGAATTATAAGATACAGATTCAACATCCAGAGTACTGGTGCTTGTTTCTGTTCCTCTGCATCACTGACATTAAGCTGGTGTAGTTTATTCACCTCCCTATCCCTGGCCACCTCCTCCAGCTTATACACCTCCTACACTAGGAGGAGTAACGGCTCTACTCTGAGGGAGAGGCCAGCCATCCTTCAGAGAAAGCTCATTTCTACAGTATGTATCCACAATCTCGTTCCAGTCACTACCCAAACCTCGTGACCATAGGTGAGGGTAGGGACATAGATCGACCGGTAAATCGACCGGTAAATCGCACGCTTCGCTTTTACACTCAACTCTCTCTTCACCACAACGGACCAATACAGCGTCCGCATCACTACAGCTGCAGCACCAATCCATCTGGCTCCCACCTTTACTCGCATCTTCAACAGATCCCTGGAGCTGTGTGAAGTTCCCTCCTGCTTCAAACGCTCCACCATCATCCCTGTTCCCAAGAAACCCACCATCACAGGACTGAATGACTACAGACCTGTCGCCTTGACGTCTGTGGTCATGAAATCCTTCGAACGACTGGTGTTAGCCCATCTGAAAGACATTACAGGCCACCAGCTGGACCCTCTGCAGTTTGCCTACCGGGCAAACAGGTCAGTGGATGATGCAGTGAACATGGGGCTGCATTACATCCTGCAACACCTTGACCGCCCGGGAACTTATGCCAGGGTCCTGTTTGTGGACTTTAGTTCGGCTTTTAACACCATTGTGCCTGAACTTCTTTCCTCCAAACTCTCCCAGCTCAGCGTGTCACCAGCTACCTGTCAGTGGATCACCAGCTTCCTGACAGACAGAAAGCAACAAGTGAGGCTGGGGGAGATCACCTCTGAAACCCGGTCCCTCAGTATTGGTGCCCCTCAAGGATGTGTCCTCTCACCACTACTGTTCTCCCTCTACACTAACGACTGCACCTCCAAGAACTCGGCTGTCAAACTCCTAAAGTTTGCAGATGACACCACTGTCATTGGCCTCATTCAAGATGGTGATGAGTCTGCATACCGGCAGGAAGTTGAGCGGCTGGTACTCTGGTGCAGTCAGCACAATCTGGAGCTGAACACTCTTAAGACTGTAGAGATGACAGTGGACTTCAGGAGACATCCCTCAACTCTGCTCCCCCTCACCATATCAGACAGCCCTGTGTCAACTGTGAAGACCTTCAAGTTCCTGGGTACAACCATCTCCCAGGACCTGAAGTGGGAGACCAACATCAACTCCATCCTCAAAAAGACCCAGCAGAGGATGTACTTCCTGAGACAACTGGGGAAGTACAGTCTTCCACAGGAGCTGCTGATCCAGTTCTACACTGCGGTCATTGAGTCTGTCCTGTGCTCCTCCATCACAGTCTGGTATGGAGCAGCCACTAAACAGGACAGGAGCAGACTGCAGCGGACTGTACGGGCAGCAGAAAGGATCATCGGCACCCCCCTGCCCTCCATCCAGGATCTGTACCTCTCAAGAACCAGGAAACGGGCAGGGAAAATCATCACAGACCCCTCACACCCTGGACACAGACTTTTTGATCTGCTGCCCTCTGGCAGAC